TTAACTAACTAGTTTCCCAATCCTAGTGTAGTAACTAGTTTGAAATTAATTGTGCTCTGGTTTTTGGAAACAAAAATACTTGGAGAATAAGTCGGACTGGAATCGAGAAATACGGAAATTAGAAAGAAACCCTGTGCAAGGATTCTCATTTCCAAAACCTATATATATTTCATTGCCATTTCTCCATCTCCTCACATCAATTCGCCGCAGTCACAAATAGAAGAGTAGAGAAGTGATTAGTCGAAGTTTAGTATAGTAGCTTAATTCAATCATTGATCGTCGATCATGGTGGGGAAGATGATATTGTCGCCGCTTCCAGGCGGAGGGTACGTTCAGCTGCGGGAGGGCTATTCCAGTTTGGACGTCCTCGCCGCCGTCTGTGGGGCTGTTTTGGAGCAGATGGAGAAAAACACAAACAGTAATAATTCATCTTCTTCTTCTTCCTCCTTTCCTAAATCAGTATTTATCCCGAGGAGGAAGAGGAGCCGTCCTAATAGAAGTACAAGTCACGAAGTTATTATGGCAGCAGATTCCGTCTTGAAATGTGGCGTCTCCGGCTTCAAAAGAGTGTCAATCGGAGGAGGACCGGCCGGCAATCAGAAGAAAAGGGCGGCCAAGAAAATGAAGAAGCGGGTCATCGCCGACGAAAACCAGCAGCCGGCGGCGGCTGAGGCAGGGCCCATGCCGGAGAGATTCAGGGGCCGGATCCGTCAATTGGCGGGGCCAGGCGCGGAGATAGCGGAGGAGATGCTGCTGATCGAAAAGGAGATAACGGGGACCGATTTGAACCCCAAAGAAAGCCGGCTGTCCCTCCCTCTGAAACAATTGAGACGGACGGATTTCTTGACGGCGGAAGAGAAGGAGCGGTTGCTCACGCGCCACAACAATGGCATCAATGTGGGCTCAGTCGACGTGGCGCTCATCGCGGCCGTCAATGGTGAAATCATAATAAAGCGGGAACTTCACCTTCGGAGATGGGAGATGCGGAAGGATAGGGGGAAAACCAGCGTGTCACTAATGGTGACCAAAGAGTGGAACAAAATTAAGGGCAGCCTTGGACTCGCCGTTGGTACAAAGGTCCAAATATGGTCCGTCCGAGTTGACGGCGAACTATGGTTATCGCTGGTTGTCTTGTAGATCCATACATCTCCGGGCCTAGCCCGACCCAGCACTGCCGGCGCCCTAATCACTTAATTAGTTAGTAATGAATTTTTTATACTATGATAGTATGATATCTACTTTTGATGGATAATTAGCTCCGATCTTTCTGTTTTCATGCTTCAATATGTATATACGAAGTACTTTATAAGTTGCTGTTACTTTGTTCCTTGTTTTCTGTGTTTGAGAAATTCATATTGGCAGTTTAGTTTATTAGTTACGGAGCGAGTACTATACAATTATACATAATTGTTGCTGGTTTTTTATAAGGTACTTAATTACATAGAGTATGTATGTTTTGATCATTTTTTTCTGCTGATGCTTTGTTCTTTTAGTATTTTACGTTCCTTAATTAGTTATACACAGTACTCTCTGTGTGTTATGTTTGTGAAATTGAAATTAGTAGTTCATAGTTCATACAATCCCCTTTGATTTTTAGAGCCACTCAATTTTGCTTACATCAAATCTAGACTTAGCTTCTAGTTAATTTAATTCACTTTCGGTGCCACTGCCAATTAACATGAAACACGATATTAGAAAATTCCATATTATATTTATATGCATAAACTCGTAAAATCTTCTCTTAACACATGCATAAATAGTTAAGCCATGCTAAAGTATTAAAATGTTCGATATTTAATTACCTCCGTCCTTCATTATTTGGACAAAGGAGCGTGTTGCAGTTTTTAAGAAAAATAGAGTTATGTGGTTGATAATGAATTCATAAATTGGAAATAAAGTAAGAATGAATTAGATACTCACAAATACCAAATATGGTAGTAGTATGAGACAAATTTAGTGAGACGGACAAAAAATGAAAAATGGGACAATTATAGTGAGACAGAAAGGGCACGAGATTATTATTGAAATGAAACTTATAAGCCAATAAGCTATTTTTTGAAAAGGTAAATTTGTTTATGTAGAGTAACATGACCACAAACACCATAATTAAGCATCTAATCTGTTGGGTGTTGCTCACTCACTAACGGAGAAAACTATAGAAAGGCTGTCCATAATTTTTATTTTATCATGCATGCAACAACGTCGGCCGAAGACACTAATTAATGGCCTCCGCCTCATTCCAAAGACGTTAGATGGTTCATAATTTTTGAATCTTTATAGATCAGTTATGCCTAATTTCAACGTAGACATCACAGAACTTATTTTGGTAATTAGAGTTACGTTCTATAAGTTTACTTTATTTGTTTTGATTATATTTAAATAGAAACATGAACTTAATTAAGAATGTTTAGACGTTAGAGTACGTGTTTCTACGGACAGTTTATTTTATATTCAACACTAAAAAAATTACTTAAGAATTTTTAATTCAACACTCAAAAAATTCCTTCATTTTACTTGCGGACAGTTTGTTTTTTTACTTAATTTTACTTATTTTGTGTTTCTATATATATATACTTTATTTAATTGCATGATATGTCTGAACGATCTTCATTTTACTCATGTTTAGAGTACGTGTCTCTTGCTTGAGTTTTGTTTTTAATTCAACATATGTAAGGGTTGTTTTGTAATATTATGTAATTACATAATATTATACTTCGTATTTTCTAAATTGAACCGATGTCCTAACTCCTAAGTATATATAGGATGCCAAATAACAGTTTCAACTTTCAATATGTAATTTTAATTCTATTTGAAAACATGTGTTCAAATACAGTTTACATAATACTACTATAGAGCTGAAACCCAGGCACTAACCTTTTTTATTTTGTAAGAAAGGAAGAATTTATATTGAGTAAATAACGGAAATATAAATAGGTGTAGGAGGACATCAACCAAAGTCTACAACCAGGGCCAGGCACTAACCTTACAGAGAACTCAAACTGTTTGAATATAAATGAAAATTATAATAAACATATCATGCAACTATACACAATATAATTTCCAAAGTGATAGACTACTCCAACACAACTATGAAGTTGGTTATTTTTCCTTCAAAGTTTAGATAAAATATGTTAAGTTTTACTTGGTTATTTTTTTAGCTTTGACATGATTGAATATGATATCTTTGTTAAAATTCCCCAATGAAATTTCCAATGAATGTTTCTATGTGTAATTTTTTTAATTATTTCTTTTATTTTTCCTATTTAACTTATTGTGTAAGATTAGGCAGTCTGGCGTCTTTCTAATAGCCTAATTAAATTATTATCTAAAACATATGATTATTTTTTACCCCTAGCTAGTTTTGTGTATATATAGTTTTCTAGTGATTATTTTTTTACCCGGAATTTGTTTTGTGTATATGTAAACCGGCCAAACAGTCCTGTTTCTGATATCATTATTTTTTAATAGGAGTTTTATTTGCTATATATTTTAGATTGTGTTGAGTATTTCTTTCTAATTGTGTTACTTTCTATCTAAAGTTTATAGCAATACAACATTTATATGGTTGAACGTAACTAACAATTCTTAATTTCAATATACTCTAAGAATGCATTTCTTCATCTGCTTTATCAATCAAGTGCGTAACATAAAAAAAATATCCAAAAGTGATAATAGATCTACTCGGCATGCATACAAACATAATGCTATAAATTCTATAATGTATTAGCTTATGTGGTTTTGCTAAACAAATATTTACTTAATGTTTCATTGCACATGTTACAGAAATTAAGATAGTTAGGGATCGTAGTTGGATCAATTGTAGACGAACAAGTGATGACTATAAAAATGGGGTTGAATCTTTTCTTGAATTCGCAAAAACAAATTTGCCTAAGAGTAGTTGAAAGTTTCACTGTCCTTGTGTGAATTGCGTGAATGAGATACGACTAGACACTGAATTGATACGAGAGCATCTCCTGTGTGATGGGTTTTGCAAAAGCTATACAATATGGATATGGCACGGTGAGCAGTACAATATGCCCACTACATCATCTCATACAGAGGACGTTGTTGGAGCAGATATGAGTGATCATCTATACTCACCCAAATTACGTTTCAAAATGTAAATTTTTAAATTTAAAATACCCTATTTAATTATTTTAAAATTCTTGTCTATTTTTTAATGTGAATCTAAGTTAGGCTTGAAATAGTATCAAGTATGATATGTAATTAACTTAGTGGGACAGATGCAAAAAAATAAAATGAGATAAAATAGAGAGACATATAAACTATATATGTTTAAAAAACTGACCCGACCCGGAACCCGGCAACCCAGACCAAAACTCGATTCGGTTCATTAAAAACCCGGAAATGGTCAAAAACCAGAAAACCCCGGCCGACTTGAAAAACCCCGGTCCAAACCCGGACCTGAAAAACCCGGAAAAGTCCATTTGTGTTTTTTTTCATTTGATACAAAAATAAATTAAAGCATTTTTAACCAATAAAATTTGAATTTCAACACCCTAAAAAGAAAAAATATGCAATATATTTATATACTACTTATTTTTTTTAAGAATAAAATCCATGTCACCCTATATAATAAATGTACTATAAAAATAACAAATATGGAGTGTCATTATATATTTTAATAAGATCAAAATGATATTTTGGAATATTATGAGACTTTTTAATTTAAATGTTTAGTAAATATTATTATTAGTTGATTATTATGAAATAACTACCTCTTATTTTAATTTTGTTATAGAATTATATATTTATTATTGTTATATGGTCGACCGTTTTATAGCGTTGATCGAGTTGACTTGATCGGGTCTGAGTTGACCCGTGACCTGATCACGCGGTCAGTCGCTTCCGGATCCGTTTTCTTAAACATGGCTTCCCGATCTGTAAATTCATTCATCTCTAGTTAAAGGACCGGCCCGCCTGCACCCGGGCGGGATAAATACGTTTCCGGGTCGTCGTCGTCGTCTAATACAGTTATACAGCCCTCGATTCTCAAGTTCAGCGATTGCTTCCTTGATTGGCCAATAGACAGATGGCGGGGCTGGACGAGAACGATAATTTCTACCTGAGGTACTACGTCGGTCACAAAGGCAAGTTTGGGCACGAGTTCCTGGAGTTTGAGTTCCGGCCCGACGGCAAGCTCCGCTACGCCAACAACTCCAACTACAAGAACGACACCATGATCCGTAAGGAGGTCTTCCTCACGCCCGCCGTCCTTAAAGAGTGCCGCCGTATCGTCTCCGAAAGCGAGGTATTCGCCATTTCGCCTGCCCACCCAAACACACTCTCACTCTCACTCTGTAGCTCGATTCAATTGCTAGGGTTAACTCTTGGTTTTCGGGTTTATACTCTTTTGTGTTGTCACAGCTTCAATACCCTAAATAAACAACCAAATCATGAACAGGGTCAAGTTTGACTCACATTGTTTGCTTCGTGTTGATGAATCTATGAAGATCCGTGTTGCTATTGCATTATATTTGATGGAGTATATGGCCCAAGAACCCCCGGCCCATAGACTCCTACTTCTGCTACACATATCCAATGAGCCCAGAGAACAACTCAGGCCCAAAAGCAACGGCCCAAGCCCCAAAATAGCCCGAAATACATACTGGGGTGCCTTCGGCCTCCTTGGCCGAAGGCTCCAGAAACTCACGAAGTAGCCCTCTCTGACATACGGAGCCACTGGGAGAAAACGGCGAAAAACATGAGCCTTCGGCATTGCCAAGCCCTCGGCATCAGGGGAGCCTTCGGCTGAACTTAACCCTCTACCACTCGGGGCCTTCGGCTACACAGGGGTCCTTGGTTACACGGAGCCCTCGGCTACACAAGAAGCCTTCGGCCAAACATGCTCAATCATCGAAGATTCCTTTTGGGACAGCCAACCACCGCATTTAATGCCACGTCACATCCGCCAACCGCATTCAATGCGGTGAACGTACCACTGCCGGTGCCACCAGGCTGATGTGACCCTTCGGCCGTTGGATTACTGACACGTGTACCCTCATCGCATTTATTGCTGCTATAAATAGCAGCCCTTATTCGCCTTGTAAACCACGCTGAGTTCATTTAATAAATCGACTCTCTCTCCTCCTATTTTGCTCTGACTTCTCTCTAGTTATTCCAGCAATAACCCTCGGATAAGATACCCCCCGGGTAGACTATCCATCATTTGGTGCTCTCGTTGAGAGGTCTGAACTATCAAGTAAGAAACCCTCCCCCTCTACCAAATACCAAACACTTACCAAAAAATGGGAAGAACCACTCGTGCCCAATCCAAAACTCTGGAGGAGAACCACGTCGCCCCCGGCGAAACCAACGGGGCTGAGGCCTCCAACAGGCTCTTGGTACCCGAGGGTGGTATCATCCTCGAGTTGGAGCAGGCTACTGCTGACCTCCGGCAGCAGCTACAGAAGAACGCCCCTGATGCCCGCATTGGCCTTGATAATCGAAGGAGGGATCGGAGTGAGAACCAAGTTCCCCCTCCGGCCCCGGCCATCGATCTTCAGGCTGCCTTTGCGGCCTTTGTTCAAAACATGGCTCTCAACTCAGGAGCCCTCGCCTCCCAGGCGCCCCTTCAGCCCCACGCTGGAGGGAATGTTATCCAACTACCACCACTCCCTCCTTTGTTCAACAGTCCTCCCCCGGGGATTGGCAATGCCGAGGGGGTCATGGCGCAGGATACCGCCTCCCAAGAGGCCCAATCCAGGGACAAGCGCCCCATGATGAAAGAGAAACCCCGAACCTCTGTACTTGAGAGGCTTGGGGGAGCTCCCGGGCACCGAGGGGTCCAAGACCGCCTCGGGAAACAGGCATTCAGCAGGCCCCAGGAGAGTGGAGCCTCTGCTTCGGGCGCCGAGGGCGCGCCTCCCCCACGAAGCAAAGGCAAAGCCCTCCTCCATGCCGATGACGCCAGGCACCAGATCAATCAGGCGCAATCCTTCCGGGCCAACTCCCAAGGGGTTGCCCCGAAGGATCCCAAGGACGAAATCATTGAAGCTCTCCTCCGTCAACTCGAGGAGAATCATCAGGCACCCCCGACGGCTTCCACAGCGAGGCCAGATCCGGAGTACGCTGACCTCCGGGCGCAGGTGGAGGAAATGAAACGTAAACTTGCCGAAGGCTCAGGAGAGCCCCTCATTCAGCTCCGCACTAGGACGCCTTTCACCCCAAGGGTGTTGGCGGCCAAAATCCCCCACAAATATCGGGGGCAACCTATCAAACCATATGAGGGGAAGACGGATCCCCAGGAGCACTATAGCCGTTATCAAAACAGCATGATGATGATGGGGGCATCGGATGAATACTTATGCCGTTGGTTCCTTTCCACCTTGGAGGGACCAGCGTATGAGTGGTTCAACCGGTTGCCCGAAGGCAGCATTGATTCGTGGCAAGAACTTGCCCACCGCTTCCTTACGCAGTTTGCCGGGAGGCACCGCTCAAAGAAACACTTCTCCCACCTTCTCAACGTGAGACAACAGAAGGAGGAAACCCTTCGGAGTTTCCTGGAACGCTGGAGGCAGGCCTCCCTCGAGGTCGAAGGCGCCGATGACAGGACCCTGATGGCCCTCTTCCACACCGTCCTCCGCAATGGTAACTTCTCCCGGAGCCTTATCACTGATCCCCCCCGCGATTATACAAAGGCCCTTCAGCGGGGGGACCGATATGCTGAGGCAGAGGAAATCGAGAAGGACCGCCGCAACACGGACCCCTCTCAGAAGAATGAAGGCAGGAATCGGCCCGGAGGGCCTCCCCCTCCGGCCAACCGAGAGCCCCACTACAATGATCGCTCCCGAGGTGGCCAAGCCAGACCCGGGGGCGGTTACAAGAATAATCCGAAGGCATGGGCGCAACCCGTCCTCCTTGAGCACCCACGCACTCCCTTGACGCATCCCGTCAGCGTCATTCTTGATCACGCGGAAGAGCGGGGGCTCGTTGAGCGAGACTCCCGCACACCCCTCGAGATTTATGCCATCGGTCCTGATGAGCCCTACTGCCGCTTCCACCGCCACCATGGACACAAAACCGACGACTGCCATCAGCTGAAGAACGCCATCGAGAGGCTAATACAGGCGGGCCACTTATCTCAGTTCATCAGGGGCCCTCCTCCCCAGGGCCCCCTTCACCATCAAGGGCCTCCGCCGAAGGCCAACAAGTGGGTGAACCCCAACACCATCCCCTTGGGAAACCCACAGGGGAAGAAGCGTGAAATTGGCGGCCTCGAAGACGAGGGAGAGGGCTCCCACCAACAATACAAGCGCCACATCCACATGATTAATGGTGGCAACACTGGTGGAGACTCCACCAGCCAGCGAAAGAAGTGGGCTCAATCCCTTTACGTTGGGGAAGTCAACCACATGCCCCCTACTAAAAGGCCGAGGGCGGATCCAATCTTCTTCACAGATGCGGACCTCCCCTCGGGTTCCCTGCCGCATAGGGATGCCCTCGTCATCCGCACTGAGATCAATGACGCCATCATCCACCGGACTTACGTTGACACAGGGAGTTCTGTCAACGTCATGTATCTCAGCACTTTTCAAGAGTTGGGACTCGACAGGGGGTCCCTCCGACACATCAACACCCCCCTCTCCGGATTTACGGGGGACAGCATAGACGCCGAGGGCGTCATCACCCTCGTGGTTGAGTTCGGCGACGGATCCCATAGAGCCAAGCTCGAAGTGGAATTTGTCGTCGTCAACCTCGACTGCGCACACAACATCATCCTCGGCCGGCCCGCCCTCGAGGATTTGGAGGCCGTCATCTCTGTGAGGCATCTCTGCCTCAAGTTCCCCACACCCACCGGCATCGGCTACTCGAGGGGGAATCAGAAGCTCTCCAGGGCCTGCTACCTTCAACTCACCAAGAAGGTTAGTAAAACTGAACTTCGTGTTGACACGATCACCACCAAAGCCTTGGAGGAAGAGGAAGGCAGGCCGAGGGCTGAGCCTGCCGAGGAGACCGAAGACTTGATACTCGATCCGGCCAAGCCGGAGAGAGTCCTGAAGATTGGAGCCAAGCTCCCCGAAGACTTGAAGGTTAGCATCGCTGAAGCCCTCCGCGCCTACTCCGTTGTTTTTGCATGGGGGCCGGAGGACATGCCAGGAATTGACCGAAGGGTTATCACCCACCGCCTGGCGGTGGACCCTTCGGCCAAACCGATACAGCAGCGGAGAAGACCCCTCTCGGCCGAGAGAAGGGAGTTCGTAAAGAAGGAGGTATCTATGCTCCTCTCCATCAAGCACATCAAGGAGGTGAAATACCCTTCTTGGCTGGCAAACGTAGTCCTCGCACAGAAGCCTCCTACCTTCCGCATGTGCGTGGACTACACGGACCTAAATAAGGCGTGCCCCATGGACCCCTTCCCACTGCCAAACATTGATCAGCTGGTTGATGAGACCGCGGGATGCGAAATCATGTCCTTCCTCGACGCATTCCGCGGGTATCATCAAATCTACATGCATGAGGAAGACGCTGAAAAAACTGCCTTCATGACACCCGAAGGCATCTTCTGCTACCTTGTGATGGCCTTCGGCCTCAAGAATTCGGGCGCCACCTACACCCGAATGGTGGTCAGGGTCTTTCAAGCTGTCCTAGGACGCACCATGGAGGCTTACGTTGACGACATGATCGTCAAAAGCAAGAAGGCCGGCACCCACGCCGACGACCTCCGAGAGATTTTTGCCATCATGCAAAAATTCAACCTCCGGCTAAATCCGAAGAAGTGCACCTTCGGCGTACAAGGAGGGAAGTTCTTAGGCTACATGGTCAGCCGAAGGGGTATTGAGGCCAACCCCGAGAAGATTCAGGCCATCATCAACATGGAGCCTCCACGCAACGTCAAAGAAGTCCAACGGTTGACGGGCCGCCTGGCAGCCCTCAACCGTTTCCTCTCCAAGGCAGCCGAGAGGGCCCTCCCCTTCTTCCAAATCATGAGAAAGACGGTGGGTTTTCAATGGACACCTGAGTGTCAAGAGGCCTTCGACGAACTCAAAAAGTACCTCTCCTCTCCCCCGGTGCTCTCCAAACCAAAGGTGGGGGAGACTCTATACTTATATCTCGGTGTTAGCCCTGCGGCTATCAGCTCAGTACTAATCCGAGAAGAAGACGGCATCCAACATGCCATCTTCTACGTCAGCAAAACCCTCCGGGAGGCCGAACTCAGGTATTCTCCCGTCGAGAAGACGGTGCTAGCCATCGTTTGGACCGTCAAGAAGCTTGGCCACTACTTTCAAGCTCATCCGGTCCAAGTGCTCA